GTGTACCAGGTTTTCAACGTTAGCTCAGAACATCAGCATTGCTGCAAACAGCTAGAGTATATTACATGAAATTTATTTTCTCATAAAATGTTGCATGGCCAAATTTTCAGAGTTGGCTAGCCAGATTAGAGTTATTATCATCTATATCATTAGTAAGAGGAACTAATAACATGAATGTGATTGTTTATTAAATCATTAACTTAAAAAAATCCTTAACATTGGTATACAACAACTTGGGTTCTTTAGTTTCTCCTCCTCCTCTTCACTCTTCTCGTTCTCCTCTTTTTTCTCCTCCTATTTCTCTTTCTTTTTCTCAAAATATCTACATTGTCTTGGGTTATGGAGAGCATTGTCATCTTGAGGAGAGAAATTTCACTTCAGTTAAATCTCACATGTTCACAATCATCTTTCATGTACCCAACAGTTTGTGTCAGAAATGAGGTCTTAGGAAGCTTCTTGGCCTTTCAGAGGTAAGATTTCTCCATTTGTTATGGAGAAATCCCTCCATAAATCAGGGATTTATCCCTTGCTGGGAAGATTTTTTGTAAGTACCAAAACGTGTACAAGTAGAATATTACAAAAATATTTAAGTCTTGGGTAAGTTTTATAGGAGGGCACTTTATCTTGTCTGGCTTCTGTTATAATATAGATACCCATATTTTCAACATTTGAAATGGTTGAAATCCTATTATATCCTGTATTTTTTCTGAATCCTTCCATTCACAACGTTTAGGTTGTGGAAATGAAAAAAGAAGCTCCTACTAGAAGATAGTGGTTAGATGGAAGTGGCTAGTGAATTACTTTAGGGTAGGTGACCTTTGTTTCTTAAGCTTCACAGATCATTAACCCCTGTAAGTAAGTGATGGAATTTTGGAAACAAGTAGGGACAGAAGGTAAAGTGGTGGTCATCTATACAAGGACTCCCAAAAGTTTGCTTCTCAGAATAAAGGAAGGTAAGATTTCTTGGTATGCAGATAAATCTTTCCAAAATTCTAGGTATGCATAAAATTACATATAAGCGAACAGGTTTCACAATTCCAAAGATTTGGATTGTTTGTATGCCATATCAGCTGAAATGAAAAACCCAGCTCTCCGGTGTTCATCTTACTCCAGTAATATTCAAATTTAATCCTCATGGCCTCTGAGAGTTAATGTCATAAATTGGAACTAATTTACTAGCAGAGACAAGCTTAGGAAAAAAAAATTGTTCAAAGTTTTTCTTAACTGGTTTTGCCCTCAAGGTGAAAATCACCAGGCTATGAATCCAGAGTTGCCAAAGGACCAGTGTTTCATTTATTGATCAGGTATTTCCCTCAGGAAATTTCTACTTTGACAAACAAACACAGTTTCAGAAAAAAAGTGTTAGTAATAGAAGCTTTTGCTTTGGCTTTGGCTTCCTATGTTGGTAGGAACAGATTGCCTGATTTCTACATTGGCAATCCATATTATTTTCTTTATTACATATTGAATTAAAGGGGCTGTTACACTGCAAACTATTCAAATACAATTCTCTCTACACTAATAAATTCTTTCAAGTTTTCCAGAGTTGAAAAATGTGGTATGACCCTTGCTACAAGTTCAAAGGTTGTGGCTGTTTTGTTTTTTTTCCTTACAGGGTAAATATTCCTGACTTCTCATGATGTTACTAGTGCATCACATCCAGATTTCAAAACTCTTTCATGTATTACTTCACATTCAATTTACAACAGTTCTGCAAGATAGCACAGACATCACTCTAATGACATAAATGATGAGGGTCAGAAAATTTTGATAGGTTTTCTAGCGCCACAAAGCTAAGACATAGTGGGACCAGGATCAGAACTTAAGTTTTCAGGTTTGAACCCAGAAAACTCCATTCTGATAGGAGTTCAAAGCATTGTTATTTTTGGCCAAGGCACAATGAGTATGATAGAAATGTTATTTTTGCAATTTAGGCTTTTGTGGTACCAGATAGCACTTTATATTTTCATTTTCATCCCTGTGACCTCTTGGTAGAAGATCTCATTGCTCTTCTTTCCTCTGGTTTCCTTAATAATTAATTTTATTTTCTAACAAGGATTTTAAGACTTTGCCTAAAGGTTATAATTAACACACTGAGAGGATATAGCAACATAACCCACTTTGTGTCCTGTTTCCGGTGTGGATGCTCATGGAGGTAATTTAATGTTAATTTCAAAAACAGTAAATTTTATTTTATTTTATTGTTTTGCAGTTTCTATAACTGAGTTTGCACAGTTACATTCAGTCAAAGAGCAGGCCGTCTCCTCAAAGCTTTCTTTCTGCCAAAAGTACTCATCATTGCTGTGTTAATAGTGAGATTCTTCCTGTCATCTTGTGCCTAGCAGAGCTCAATGCTCAGCGTCTACTCAGATTTGATGATTTTGTCTGGTTATGAAATGGTGTTGCCATGAAGTATGATGCTAAGTGTAGCAAGGAAAGATATAAGGAAAATGATTTTTCTATTAATTCTTGGGTTTCTTATGAGATGTCCCTTTAACCCATCTTTGTCTTTTGCTCTTCTCCATATGCAGATAAGTCCAGTATCTTCTTATTAATATTGGCCCTCTAGAGCTACTTGACAGAGTCTCCAGTGAAAACAATATTTTTCTATTTCTTAAAACTTGGGAGAAGCTCAAGAAATGGCCTTTGTCTTTCATGTTTTTTAGGTTTTAAGCCTACTAGGGGTAAAGTAGTCAGTCATGTCCTTTTGATTTTTGTCAATATGTTTCCTTTTATTTTGAAACTGAAACAGTGAAATTAAGTGGTTTGTGGCTGAAACTGTAGTGCTCGTCCAGCAAAAGAACAGTCCCGAAATCTGAGCCAGCTGCCCTCCACCCCCAGATAAAGTCAAGGCCAGGTTAAAGAGTGGAAGAGAGGATACAGCCAAACCTGGTGGTGATAGCTGGCAGATTTTCAGCAAAGTACAGTGTTCAAGGTGGCCGCATTTCACAATCACAAATACATGTCCCTCTCTTCCTCTGCCCTCACTGTGATTCGCCATTCATAATGGAATATTTTTCACTTTCCTGAGTAAGAGACATCTCTTTCATTCCCACTCACTTTGCCTCAGGGGAGGGTTCTCTTTTGACTTATTCTGGTTCTGGGGCCAGGCTCAAGATGCTGGAGACGCAAGAATTCTAATTGTGGTAGATGTTTATTTGTGATGGTAACTCATTATTTGCTGAAATTCATCTTGAACACTTTTCCACTGCAGTGGGTTACATAAAATTTATACAGAAGTGTTACAAGTTGCTCCCCAGCCCTCACAGGGGAAAATAGTGAGTCAAGACTAGAATATCCCAGCCTGGCTGGTGTGGCTCGAGTGTCTTGAGTGCCAGCCTGAGAACCAAAGGGTTGCCAGTTCAATTCCCAGTCAGGGCACGTGCCTGGGTTTTGGTCCAGGTCCCCAGGATGGGGCATGTGAAAGGCAACCACACATTGACGTTTCTCTCCCTCTCTTTCCCCTCTCTCTAAAAATAAAAATCTTTAAAAAAAAAAGACTTAAATACCCCAACCCAAGCCTTGGCTCTTGGTGGGGATGATGAAAGTCACCTGGTTCGGGGAAGGGGGTGGCAACAGGCGAGAAGCAGGGCTCAGGGGCAGAAATGAGTTAGAGGGGATGGGGTAGAAGAGCAGGGGCAAGCCAAAGCCAACTGAAATCTCTACTTGTTAAGAGTAGCACACTATCTTAAATGAAATAGGAGTGAAACATTTATGGGAAAGAAACTTATTTATGGGAAAAAAATTTAGGGAATTAAAATAATACAATAGTATTTTCTGTTCCTTTGGAAAAAGAAATCCATCCCCCAGCAAGTGGAGTTGCTATTACCTAATTTATTTCTATTATCTTGCTAAGAGGTAGATAAGACAAAAGTGAAATGGGGCTTCTAGGAGTAGGTCCATTAGAAGGTGGGACTTGGACAATGGACCAGGGGAGCCCCGGATTACACAAAGACACCTGAGTCACCAGAGGACCTGGCCCTCAGATTCTCAGGACAAAGGATCCTGCTCCACCTTTTCTTCTTCTAGAGCCAACTGTCCCCATGGAGACTGAGATACAGTGGAGGTAGAGCATCTCAAAGAAACCCTGTTGAAGTGGTCTTAGCTCTGGCTTCCCCAAGCTTTCTGGCTTTGGGGCTGAGGGGTGGGTTCCAGGCCAAACCCCAGGTTTCACCTCTGGCCACCCTCTGGTAGAAGAGGAGCCAATTCCTCTCTTTACTCTCTGGTCCAACAAAAATATAGCGGGTGAGAGGGGCAGCTGGAGGGAAAGGGGTGAAACATGGGACCCCAGGACAAGAAAGGCAGAAAAGGGAGAACTAATGGCAAGCCCTTCAGCCCAAATGATATGAACAGGGGATCCTAGCAGGCATGCCTGTCCTACAAGGTCAAACTTTTTGAGGCACAAGTCTCAACTCACTCTTCCTGGCTGGGATTCCTACCCTATGCATGAGTCCCTGCCCTTGGTTCCAATCTTACTGTAAAGATTGAAGGAGTTAATTCATTTAACTACTGTGGTTACTCCAAATACATGTTCCCAAGGAACTGCCTGGTATTTCATTTAAGAAAAAAATTCTTTTCTTTTGTCTTGTCTGTCCAGATTCAACCATATTAAAAAGCACAAGTAATGATGCTGGTTTTGTTTTTTTTTTTTTAATACAGATATGGTAATACAAACTTGATATTTCTCCACAGAACCCCATATATGAACTGATTTGAGTATATTTTAGTAACATGTATGATTTAAAAAACAGAAAACAAGGAAAGTAAATATTCAGGAAAAAAACATGTTAATTTTAATTAAAACACTGTCATTTTTTTTTCTAATAACATTTACAGTGTTTGATCTTGATAATGTTCTCAAGAAAACTCAAGATATTGAATATATAAAGTTGTAGAAACCCATTTTACATCACTCCTTTATGTCTGTGTGAAATGAAAATGTGTTGGATATTAATCTGCGTTGCAACCTGGGAGAATTTTATTTTTTCTTTGGCTCCTAGGTGGCCATGTATGTGCTACAACTGGGCAGCGCAACATTCCTGTTCACGGAGCCTGTGATCAGCGCTATGACAACTGGGGCTGCCACACATGTAGTGACTTCACAAGTAAAGTATTTCTTGGGAATGAAAATACCCTATATATCTGGACCACTTGGATTCTTTTATGTAAGTTTTCCACATTCTTTGTTCATATATTTTGGGTGTATATTTCACAAAGTAGAACTTGATTACTTATAATATTGAGATATTTCTATATTAAAGCAACTTGGGTTTAAATATAATCTTGCAGGATATTTTAAATGTGATTTAGGACAGTAAATTGTTCAGCGAGTAATATTTATTAATTTTGGAAACAACTCTTTATAATAACAATTGAATATGATATAATTTGGGAAGCTGATTAGAAAAGAAATAACAAAAATTTTTTGTGAGTCAGATATGTTGCCAACTTCTAATGGAGGCCATCTACTGGGATTGTGGCCAGGTTTAACAATAATACACTCTACCACATTCTTTCAGAATTGTGAACCCTGGTATGGATCAAATCACAGGCCTGGTCAAAATTGGTGGCTGGAACCCCAATGGCAGACAATCAGTTATTAAAAGCCTCTTGAACCTGGCAGAGGAATGTGTGGCCAGCTTCAACATATGCTCATAATAGTCTATTGTTCTTGGCCTATTGGAAGTCGGCCTAAAATCTATGACTTTTCAAGAAGTCATTTTATTGGAGCTTTAAATGAAAATTAATGTCTTGTTAATAAACTTGAAGGCTACCAAGTTTCATATTATTTAATTTTATGTTGTAAAGGAAGAAAGATATTTTCCTTCCACTCTTCTAGGTTCTCAGCTATGGCCACTCTAGCAGATAAGAGATTAAGAGGAGAAAAACCTAAGTTTATTAACATGTACATCTGATACATACATGGGAGAAACTCAGTGATGAAAAACTCAATAGATATGGCTAGAAATTGGGCTTAAATACTCTTCACCTAAAGCAAAGAAGGGTATGGGGTAGGCTAGTTACTGGAAGGTGACCAGGAAAAGTACAGTCAACAAGGTTAAGGTTGTTGTGCAGATGTATGTTGGTGCCTTCCCTATTGATCAGAGTGTCTTGTGACTTTGAGTCATCTTACTCTTTCTGGTTCAGAGAGGAAAACACCCCACAAATGGAAATTTCTTTTATAAATATAAATATCCCTTAAAATCCTTTTAAAAAGGGTAATTTATACTCTGTTTTCAAAAGTTACTGTCTGCTGTTTTTCAAAATAATGATCTTAAAATAATCCTTTACATCAAAGAGGTGTATTTTAAGGGTGACTTATTCTGATCTTCTACAATGTAATGTTATAGATTGCATTGTATACATATACATTTACAAGTACATACAATGTATATACATACATTAATGTTTCATGATAAAGACAATCCTATTTTTAATTTTTTTATTTCAATGGTTGAAAAGTAGCTTAATATATGGAGGTACAATAATATACTTATTTAATAAAACAAGAACACTGGAACTGGTCCTGGAAGCAACATAATTTCAAGTTCTAGATCAAACAAAAGCAGACCAGATTAAGACTTTTGGTGATGCCACGCCTGCAAAAGAGAACCAAATGAGCACCAGATTGTGCCTTGGCCTTCTAGCTGGTAAGGTGTGCTCACCTGTGCATGTGCAGTATAAGGAAAGATGAGTGGGTTACAAATTGTCCTCTGCAGATATACTCACATGTATGATAACCACACAAAAATGCTCACCCCTCCTTTCACAAGCTGTGCTAAAAGAAGCTGAATAGCCTGATATGGGTCTGACATTTAGTCTTTCAGTTTGTTTTTCTGGTGCATAAAATGCTACATTAAAGTGTTTTGTGTAGGAATTTAAAAAATTTTGGTTATCTTGTGAGGTGAACTGCAAGCTACTTTATGTTTGCCTTGTAGGTCAAACACTGTGTGGTTTTGGGGATCTTTTGTAATTTTTTATTATGAAATGGAATCAGGTTTAAAAATATGTTTAGATAGCTGACTTTAAATTCACGTTATCTAGCTAGTGGAAGTTGCTATGTTTTGTGTTGATGGAAAATGAAGAAGAGTTGCTCTTACTCCTCAGTGTCACAGAACCATTTACTATTAGTTTGGAGTGACAAAGTTTCAAAATAAAGGCTGATATTTCATGGTCAAGAATTGTGATGGTCCTACCATTAGATTTAAGAAATACATTTTGCATTGTGCATAGGCTACACTGGGACATTTGGAATGTGAGCTTTGGCATAGAATCTGGTGATGATCATGTAAACGTGAACTTGCTCTTAAATCATTTGTGAAGAATGTGAATTGGCAGAGCTGACCTCAGCACAAAGGTGTAGAACAGAAGACAGAACAGAGGCTGTGGTCCTGAGTTCAAAGAACCTAAGGGAGAGTGAATTAATACCTTGCGATTTCACACTTTGTGCTTCCTGCTTCTGAGTTTTCACAACTATTACACTTTTTTTTGAAAGCTATTCAGACAAATGAGAAAAAAATAATATTACATAAATTTCTTGGAACATAAATTAATATCGAGAACACGAGACTCTTGCATAATGAGCCAGTCACCACTCCTAATTGTCTCAGCGGGAACACTCATTTTTCTTAAAATAATTCAGATTTGTCCAATCAAAATGTCCATTAATTAATTCCAGTACAAGCAATCTTTGCTATCAACTTTAAGAGAAAACACAGCCTCCTACCTTTATTCTGTTCTTAAGTTACTACAGTTTGGGCTCCCTATCTTCTGTTACTATGATGGTTTCTACAGTGTCTTCTTTCTGGGAGATGCCTGATTCTGTGTTACCAAAATAATCTAATTCTCTAGTTCAAATGGCTAAAATATCCATGTCTTTGGTTGCTCTGAAAAGGCAGGTGTTCTTGCCTCAATGGAACATTTTTAGGGAGCAATCTGAATCAGACACAGGTAGTGGTAAGTTCTCATTTCTGCCTGGTCAGATTATGGAACAGACCTTCCACAGGTCTTAAGAAGTAGATATGGCCAGGTAGTTTCTTTTCTGTTTGTGGCATGAAGACAAGCACCTGCCACCAAAGCCAACTAAGCTTGGATGGTTAGGCCACTTTTTTGCTTCTAACTGAAAATTGTTAACCAGTGTCCTAGGGTGAGGAAGTTCTCTGAGAAGTGTTAAATCCAATTAAAGCTTTTGCTGGTCCTTAGAGTGTTTATCCTAGAATTTCTGGGGTTTTGATGTGCAAAGAAAGCCTATATCCCCAAGAAAAGTAGATATGATCCGGCCTGATTCATTTTTTATAGGGCCTTTCTAAATGTCCTCACATATAATGTTTTATGTTTTCTCTAGTTCTTCACAGGTCACCTCTGAATTTATGTACTTCTAATGAAATAATCTTTCTCTTGAAATTATTTTTCTTAATAAACTTTGAAGTGTTGCATATTCTTTTTCACTTATATATTGGATCAGATAGTGGCTTTTTTTTAATAAGACATACTATATCAAAGATCGATTACTTGAAATTTCCTGCAAAAACAGCTTTCATATTTAGCTTAATGCATTGCACATAACAGAACCTACATAAACATGTTAAGCATATGAATGAATGATAACTACAAATCCCCTTAATATGATATAGCCCATGTATTGATAGAGAGAAAAGAAGAATCTGGTCCTTCCCTTCCTTGTTGTTCTGTGTATTCAGGATGAAATCTACTTCTACTTACAAATGTATTGTTACTATTACTATGTTAGACCAAAGTATTTGTTCATTCAACAATACTTACAGAATACCTACTATTTGCTCAACACTATTTTAGGAGTTGAAAATCTGTCAGTGAAAAAAGTCAAATAAAAACACATTATATAAATAGATTGTATGTATGTATGTGTACATGTGTATATATTCATTAAGTGCTTCAAGAAAGTCTCCTCTCTAAAGAAATTAATAACAATCTATATATATATATATTCATTCTTTGAAATATCTCAAAATGTATTTGTTTATACATATCAAATTTTTCATTTTATGTCATTACAATAAATGGTCAATTTAAAGAACTAGTGTTATAGTCTCAAATTGAGCTAAACTTTAATTTCATTAAACAGATTGGTCATTTCTGATGAAATAGCTTACTAATTGATCCATATGTATATAAACCATCTTTGCTTCTCCGGGATATGGGAAGTGAATGATGATCCTCAACAGAAATTTTTCTCTACTGGAGCTTAGTGTCTGATAGCATGCTCAGATGACTGGATTTATACTAGAAATGAGAAATTTAATGTGTGCTTAGGATTACTAGACCTATATTATAGGAGTGTGTGTGTGTGGGGGGGTATTTTCTTCCCCATCTCTATTTCCAGATGCCACCATCTCCTATTAACCGTGACTCCTCTATGTTAGCCCACTTGACAGTCATGAGGATAACACTCTTTATTAGCTTACTTTTTTCTTGTACCCTTCATGCTGACTGTAACACACTTTGGCCACACCCATATTCTTCTGTAGCATCTCGTACTTTGCTTTACAAATTGTACTTTAATCCTGAAAACCCCTAGGGTTTTTTCACATTTCTTTTCATTCTGGGGTACTTATTTTTATTACTGCAAACATATGTTCTCAAAATGCACATAATAGCCAATTTGGTATGGCTTGGGAGTTTTGCCTATTTATGGAATACTTTTAATGCCATGGATAAAATGAAAGGAATAATCCTCAATTCTTTAAAACATATGAATTTTTGTATGTTTCCTGACAAATCATTTGAACGATACTGTCAACTTTATCTTTGGATCATGATAAACCATCAGAAAACTATTCATTTGAACAGAATTTTCTTGACATCTCTCTAATCCCATCCCACATAGAATATATTTCACTTTTGAATTTTTGTCCTGGGCCTTGATTAAGGAGTAAATATGAGAAATGGAACCTTTCCCTTCACTTTCTATAGGAATTTTGTGAAAAATTTTCACCTACCACACAGAAGAAAAATATTGCCTGCATCTCAAATAACTATAACATCATAGTAATATTTATCTTAGATCAAATATCTTGCATCAGTTAAATATTCAGTACTTAACTTCTTTATGTGTTACTTGTACATGTGTTTGTTCGATTTGAGTTTGGGGAAGAGTGGTGGGGTTCAAGGGAGTCTATGAAATCTCCTCACTGTACTTGACAATAAATCTACATGTAACTGAATTTTAGCATCTCTCCTCACTGAAGTGGCTGGGAAGGAGGAATCATACATAGTGCTCTTACATAGAAAGAGGCACCCTTGGGTTTGATGGAAGCATCAAGGACAAAGCAATTTCGTACATGTAAATGCATTAACGCTTTGCATTGACCACCCATCTCTACCCCACATTTCCATCCTATAACCATTGAGATGTTTTTGTAAAAGGTCACTCAGTTCATTTTGGGACAGATGTTGTGATATTGTGGGTGACCTTAAATTTTCTTTGTATTATTTCTTATCATCATAGATCTACATATATGTCTTTGAAAACATCAAGTCTGTTCGACTGGAAGCACTGCTCTTATCCTTGCTGAGCACTGCAGTGCTTGTTCTGGTTAAAGAGTTGAATGAAAGGTTTAAAAGGAAAATTAAAGTTGTTCTTCCTGTCGATTTAGTTTTGGTAAGTATGAGATCAACATTTAGCTTTCTGCCCTATAAGGTTTGCCCTCTGTTGGGGTAACCTGCAGAGGTCCTGTATATTGTCTACAGTAACCCATAGTTATTCCTGTCTCTCATTAAAATATGTCTAATTTGCATAGTTGTACATTAATGTAAGAACAGGTAAATTTTTGAGTCAGTAATTTGAGGAGACATATTGTCAATTAATAGAGCATTTTCTTTCATTTTTTACATAAATAGAATAAAGTACAGCCTAAGATTTTGAATAAGGAGATATTTCTGAGGGTGAGACACAAAAGATCTCTGTCATGATTCTTCCTAAAGCAAAAAGTGATGCCACATTCTATTGATGTGGCATTTATATATTATACATAGAAATATTATCAATTGACAAATGTCCATTAATGATTGGTAGACTTATTAAAACATTTTTTAACTAACCTAACTTTGCTTTAATGAAAGGCTCCTTATGATTTTCACTGGTAAGGGCTGTTCTCTAAGATATTAGTTGTTGTTGTACCTGGCAAAACAAAATATTAAACTTTGCTTCTAAGGTTTATGACACTAGAAAAAATACACTTTGAAATCTTAAGAGCCTCTACTGGGAACTTTTAACTAATAGCATCAAGTTGAGGAAGAAATAGTAACACAGCCAGAGTTTTGGTTTTAGTTTTTTTTTTACTGGTCTTTGGGTTGGTTATATATGTATTTGACAAGTGGTGTCTATACAATTTCATTTATTGAAATATCCCTTCATACTATTGAAATGGTCTAAGTTTATGTAAATATTAAAGTTAGCATATTAAAAACTGTTTCAAAAGGATATGAAACATTTCTGTAGAACTAAGATGGATGGCCCCTTTCCATAGCTAGACCTTGTCTGATGCTATACTTGGATAATTTGTGGAGATGCATGTAACAGATGTTATCTATATAATGTGTGTGTATGTGTCTATATCAAATAAGCCATAAAAGTGGATGGTACTATGATTATTGGTAGTATTCACAGCAATAACTGTGAAATATTTTATTTTATCCCAAAGTCCTGTGGGTATTAAGAAATACTTATTATATCTTGGGAAGCATTATTACATAAGTTTTATGAATCTAAAAATGGAAATTAACCTTATGTAAGAAGGATCTTGAGATAGTAATAAAACTGTTGTTCCTTCAAAGCAAAGACAGTAAGAATTATCCCTATTAAAAAATAAAAGGAAATCCTCATGCACTCTTGCCCCCAATATTTCCAAGAGCCAAGGCAAATGCGGGCCCAAATACTTAAAAGTTATAGTTCAAAATGTTAAATAAAGCAGGCTCTGCTCTCCTATATTGACTAAAATACTTACGTGATTACCTTGAAAGGCAGGTTAGAATTGAGGATTCTGCTCCTTTGAGTTCTGGCAGAATATGTCACCATGGGGAGAGCTAGGCTCTTGGCCTACCCCTTTCTACTCCAGCTCTATCTCACCTACAAGGGGATACAGCTGGAGATTATAGATAGATAGATAGATAGATAGATAGATAGATAGATAGATAGATGTAGATATAGAGATATATAGCTATAGATATATATATATATAGATAGGTATATAGATATATAAAGAGAGCTTGAAATAAGGGGATCTCTATATCTATTGATAGATATATTTTGATATAGCTATAGATCTCTATAGATAGATAGATGGATAGATAGATAGATAGAAAGACAGATAGATGGTAGACAGATACATATCCCCAAAAGTCCAGCCATTGTTAATATAATGAGAATGGTTTACGCGATATCGATGTAACCTGGCAGCCAAGAAGAGTGGACTAGAGTGCACATGTGTGAACAATGGTGATTTCACTGTAGTAATCAGTGGAGGTGGTAGACGCTGTTGAGTGGGCATGTGTGCTGTGTGGCCAGCACATTCAAAATGACTGAGCGAGTAGAGCAATAAATCTGCGTCAGATTTTGTGTTAAGGTTGAGCATTCCTCTGTGGGAACTATTCAGGTGATTCAGAAGGCTGCAGCTGTGGGCAACTGGTGATTGGCAACCCCATCACAGCAATGTGCCAGCTCACCCCTCACGTCTTGTGTAGAGGTTTTTGGTGAAACATCAAATCACCCAGGTGATTCAGTCCTCCTACAGCTCAGATTTGGTGTCCTGTGATTTTGGGCTTTTCCCAAAATTCAAATCACCTTTGAAAGGGAAGAGATTTTTAGACCGTCAATGAGATTCAGGAAAATATGTTGGGGCAGCTGATGGCAATTGGGAGAACTGTGTAAGGTCCCAAGGTGCCTACTTTGAAGGGGACTGAGATGTCATTATTCTATGTACAATGTTTCTTGTATCTTCTATAAATATCTTTATTTTTCATAGTACATGACTGGATATTTTCTGGACATACCTTCTATATGTATAATTACATGTAATATGTGCTTATATATATATGTATATATATATATATATGCTTCAGTGAATATCCTTGTAACAAAGTATTATCACATGAGTTTAATTATGTTATAGCTTATTTTCCTTGAAGTGGGCTGTTGAGGCAAAAGTAGTACTGTTTGAAAGGCTTTTGATACATTTTATCAGAGCACCAAAAGATTGTATCAAATTTAATCATATATATCCATATGGATTTTCTGTATTCTATATTCCATATTCCATATACTATATTCCATGTGTATCTATATGATTAAATTAGATACAATCAAATTGACACAAGGTCTAAGGACAGTTCTAGCCTTGTACACACATATAATATTGAAATAATATTAAAGACAGACCAGTGAATTGATTGATACGGGGAAGTTTAATTACATTTAAAAATATAGTAAGGAAATAAGACACTGCCTAAAAGTGGTTTATGTTCCTTAATTTTAATATTAACTATGTGTACTGAACATCATCTATGCTTCCATTTTCTTTTTTTTATTTATTGTTTGAAATTTTTCTCCATTTTCCCACCATGATTACATTTTCAATCTTCAATATCTTGTGACTGTAGTATATTTCTTTTACAGCTCACAATATTTTTGGACCTGATGTAAATATTTTGTGATAATTATTAGCAATTAAATTTATTAATTGACTTAGGAATTCTTTATATGTCAATTTTTTAATATATTAATATAATACTAATCTAATAACCTACATTTTTAATAACTACTATTTCATTAGAAAATACTATTATATCACAATATTTATAAATTTTAACAGTATAACCTATAAAGTTTTGTTAGCTTTTAAAAAATTTTCAAAAGTATTTTGGTTTTTAAATCTATTTGATGTTTTAAAAGCCTCTGCAAATTCAGTTAAATATTACCACAGAGAACAGAAAAACAGAAATGATAAAAAACTACATAACAACATTATTGAGCATTAATTATTATATATTCCTTATTTTGTTAATGTCATGTTATTACTATTTTTCTCACCATGAATACAGAAAATTTTTACTTTAAATAATTTAGATAATGTTGCGTTTCTTTTTAATAAAAAGAAGTGGTATATAAACAATTCTAAACTGTTACCAAAGTGATGCCATAACCATGAGAAATTTCTAGTGCCTATTAAAATTATCAGATGGTTGAAAGGTAATTGTGAAAATAGATGCAAAACTTTAGGGTGGCAGGGCTAGTAAAACAAAGGCCAGGCTGGGTTCTGATTATGTATTTAGAGATGATTATAGATACAGGCAGAGAACATGTGAACTCTCTCATCATATCCTATCTCATCTGTCGTATTTCATAAAACAGGGTGTAGACCACCAGAGACTCCAGGAAGCATGTTTTACTTCAAGAAATAGTAAAAACTCACAATCTAAAAATACTCAAAGATATTAGAAATAATTATTGATTATTAATCTATATTAGGAATATCATGCAATATTTCAAACCATGCTATTTTATAAAGGATCCTTTCATGTCTCAAGAGACAAATGTTAACATTGGATTGTTGTATCTGGACACACACACACACACACACACACACATTGCTAGATCCTGTGTTTTGCTCCCCTTACAAATTGTAATTTTTGGGTTGACATGGGGTAGAATATTTAAAAAATATATTGTAATGCCGTTTAATTTTTGAGACTGCAAATTAAGTGCTCTCAAATCTCAGAAGGATTTTTTTAATTTCAAAATTTCCTAATTTTAAAAAGTCTGAAAACTGCTACATTCCTCTTGACAGTTGTGGGACACATGAAAAATGTTTAGTTTTAAAAACAGTTTCCAAAATGTGTTTGAAAGGTTACTAATAATTTTCTTTTTTTTCCAAATGAACCACACAGATTATTGCTGCATCATTTGCTTGTTATTATACCAATATGGAAAACACATATGGATTTGGAGTAGTTGGTCATATTCCAAAAGGGTAAGGTAGTCTCTTTTCTTACTTTTTTGTTTTTATGTTTCTTTGTTTTTGTGGGAGGAAGGGACTGGAGCTAGGTAGTATGGATTTTACTTCTTTCAAAGGACCTGTAAGGGACAGATTTTTAATTAATTTCTATATTTAAGTGATTAAAACAAACAATGTACATATAGAGAAAGTCTAAATTCTTAGACTGTTTACATATAACTAGGAAAGTTGACTCTATTATATAGCATTGCTTCAGGTAAAAGATTTTGAAATCATTTACAAAGATATTATTTTAAAAAATGGAGGGCATTGAATTTCCAAATTAGGGTCATGCTCTGGGATTTGGTCTTCCCCATTCCAATTACATATTCTTATCACTATTTTTATTTCACTTAAAACACAGTAGAAGAACACAAGCATTATCTGAAATAGCAAACCCATAGGCCTGGATGGCGTATAATGGTGAGGGAAAGGGTAGAGTGGAGAAGCAGGCATGGTTTTCTTACTGTCTTAAAGCTTTCCTCTGAACTAGGAGGAAGGTTAACATCAAAAAGTGTTCACCCTAAATGGGCAAAATGTTCTTCCAAATGTCGAGTGAAAAAAACAAAGCCATCTTCAGAAATAAGAATGCATCTTAGGGGTTATTTCTTTTTAATGGGCCATATACACACCAATATTTATAATTTGAGGGCAAAAATAGTTGTTGAGTCCTCTATATTTTTATCTTCCTGTCCCAAATTTTAGTTGCTAAATACATTAAATGGAAGGACAAAAAGAAATATTTCAGAGATTAAAAAGATAATTTTTAAAAATTCTGTCGTTAGCCTTTATGCAGTTACAGGTTAATGTGATTATCTGAGTCAATTTGGTTTTTCTAAAAAGTTATCTACTTTTCCACCTTGAGAAGTCACTTTATTATTTCTTTCTAGGTCAGTTTACTGTTATTAATAATTAGGCAGTCTCAATTTTCACGAAACAGTTCTTATACTTTGAAATGGTAAGACTTTGTGTAGCACATATTTTAGGGCCTGCAATGCTCCAAGTCAATTTATTTTGGGGGCAAACTTTAACAAGGGGGTAAAAAAAATTATCCCTCTTCTTCATCCACTCCAATTCTCCCTTATTCTGAGTGAACTTTCCAGATCCAGCCTTTAAAAGAAATCAGTGAAAGAATGTGGCATTGAAATTAGATGAAACTGAGATCGAATCTCAGCTGTACAGTCACTGTGATTTAGACACATTCCTTAACCTTTCTCAAATGGTTTCTTCTCCATCCAGTTATTATGGAAGGGCTGAGCATGCTACTTACATACTAGATATTAAATCAACATGTGTTCCCTTCCCTTTTTCTTCTTTTGTCCCAGAGGATTTTTTTTAAGGGGAGATAAGTCTCCCAAAGAATCATTGGGAATAAATAAATGATGACGATACTTCACTTGGTGCAAGTGGTTTTCAAAAGACAGTAAGACAATAGTCAGGTATTAGTTGAAGAAATATTCAAATAGTTCTTCAAAACTGAGAGAAAGTTAACTGTGGTCCTGTATTTTGCAACAGTGTCAATGGAACCTTTATACATATTTTTGCTAGCATATGTGATGCATAGTTAAGTGTGTTGTGAAAGGAGCAAGTTAAAAATATAATTAAGACTATGAACACAGTCCTGGCTGGTGTGTCTCAGTGGACTGAGTGCTGGCCTGCCAACCAAAGGGCTGCTGGTTCGATTCCTAGATAGGGCACATGAATTGTGGGCCAGGTCTCCAGTGACGGGTGCATAAGAGGCAACCACACATTGATGTTTCTCTCCATCTTGTTCTCCTCTTTCCCTCTTTCTAAAAATAAATAAATAAAATCTTTTTAGAAAAAAGTATAAAATACGTACAAAGAAAAAGAAGATGAACTCAATGGCAAATTTAAGGACTGACTCAAGAATTGTAGCTTACAGCAGACTAGTGTTCTCATACAGCACTATAGTGTTCAAAGAAGGGAATGCAGTCTCTAATGCCAGTCAAAGAAATATTTGGAAAGGTTCATATGAAAGAATGATCCAGATGTGCTTCTGTTCTGATACAGAACATTTTTGTTGAGTCAGTTCCTGTGGTCAACCTGGGTGCAAACAACAGATGCATGGAGTTGTTCATTGATGTTTCTTGCAATTTTGCTTCTCTGTTAAATAATGTTAAACTTCTAAGGTCAAGGATGCTTGGTTTTCTCATGGTAATTTTACTTATTCTATATAAACTTCAGGGTCATTACCACAGTTGAGTTCATTGCAAGTTGTTACAGAAATTACATGAAGTTGTCACCATCGTGTTTCTTTCCATAGCATTCCTTCACCTCGGGCTCCCTCAATGAGCGTCCTCTCTGCAGTAGTCACCGAAGCGTTCGGAGTGGCACTCGTAGGCTATGCAGCCTCTCTGGCTCTTGCTCAAGGATCTGCCAAAAAGTTCAAATATTCAGTTGACGACAACCAGGTGGAGTATGCCCTGGTCCCTCTCCACAACTATTGTATCATTGTACTGTATGCTCCCAGATCTTGAACATGTTGAACTTATAAAAAATGTAAGTTTCATAAGTGTATGACAAGAATAGGTAAGACAAAAGAAAAAAAATCTCTAAATCATTCATACAGAGATGAAAATCTGTCCATGGGTTGGTTTCTAATTTTATTTTCCTTTTAGAAAGAGGGACATCTTGATTTTCTTTTAAATTTGCTTTTAGGAGAGAATCTAAATGTATTATCATTGAGTGCTTACTTTTAAAAATTATGGATCTTAAAATACAAATAATACTAGTAGTACTCTTCTTAGTAAAAAACTAAAATATGTGAGCCTGTATTTTATGAATGCTGAAGGATGAAGATAATGTTGATCGTACTTTCATATTAGTGAATCTCCTTCTCCAAAGTCTTGTTTTAGCCCCATGGCCCTACATTCTTGCAGGGTGTACAGAGGCAGCTGTGGAATACTGGTTAGAAACGCTAAATTACCTATGTATTACCTATGTCTCATCTCACTCTGACACTATGTAGCCTTAATTATTTCTGAGTCCCAGTTTTGTCATTGGTATAGAAGCATATATGTTCATTCAACAGATGTGTGGACTCCTACTGCTGAACCAGGCACTGGGCTAAGAAGGAGAGGATAACCTGGTGCACAGTACAGACCATGCATTTTCTCATTTCCGAACCTCCCAGGGGCACACCCTCGTACTCAGATTAAAACTCTGTTTACCAGTGTTTACGAGGTGCTGCGTGGCCTGCCACCATCCCTTTTTTCCTCCGATCTCTATCCCTTTTTGCTCTGTTCTAGTCACACTTGGTGGCTTGCTTTTTCTTAGACCCACTAATTATGATTCTGGCTCAGGACCTTTGCACTTGCTCTTCCCTTTTCCAGAAACTGTTCCCCCAGATATCCACGCTACCCTTATTTAAAAGTTCCCTTCTCAGGGAAGCCTTTACTGGTAAGCTAAAACCCTAAACTCCAGATTTTTCCACTCCCCCCTTCTGCTTTACTTGACATATTCATCTTGTTTACTGTCAGCATTCCCTCACTAGGATGTCAGTTCTGTGAGGGCAGGGATATTTGTCTCTGCTGTTTACTGGTAACAGGAAAGGCAGAAAAACATTAGGAGATTTTCACAAAAACCCGGGTGAAATGTGAGGACTTGTACCCGGATGTAGCAATGGAGGAGAAGGGAGGTGGAGAGGTTCTGCATTGATATAGATGCCACCTGGGAAAAAGGAAAGACGTCAAAAATAATGTCATGTGCTACTTAATGATGGGGATGTGTATTGAGAAAGGTGTTGTTAGGCTATTTTGTCATTTTTCAAACATCACAGAGTTCTATGAAACAAACCTAAATGGCATAGCCTACTACACACCTGTAGTATAAGGCGTAGCCCATGGCTCCAATACCACAAATCTGTGCAGCACGTTATTGTACAAAATGACATGAGATTAAATAAAGCACAAGAAGAAATAATGTGATCAAGAGATGCAGTAAACACGAGATATATGAGGCTGCTGCCAGTCTAACAGGGCATGCTGTTTTACAGCAAAATCTTGTTTTTATTAAATGAAAAGAGTATAGTTTAAAATAACAGTAAAAGGTATAATATAGTAAATATATAAACCAGGAACATAGTAATTTATTATTATTCTCAAGTATTACATACCATACATAATTACATGTGTATACTTTATACAGCTGACAGTGCCTTAGGTTTGTTTATACCAGCAACACCACAGACATGTGAGTAATATGTGGCTCTATAATATAATGGCTACAGATGTCACTATGTGATAAGCATTTTTCATCTCTGTTACAATCTTATGGAATCACTATTTATATGTGGCCTGTCATTGACTGGTCTGTCATCATTATGAGGCACGTGACTATATCTGTAAAGCTTTTGGCCCAAGCATTTGCTACTTGAGCTGAAGAAGAACTTGGGGGTCCAGGTTGGGGGAGGTAGAGAGCAATTGCCCGATTACGTTTGGGATACCTGCTAGCCATCCAAGTGGAGATGACCGAGGAACAGGTTGGCTGTAGGAGTCTGAAGTTTAGAAGTGTGATATAAATTTGGGAGATACAAATTTGGGAATTGTAATATGTATTCAGGTAGCTAAGGCTTAGATAGGGAAGTGGTCAAATATTTTTGATTGGCTAGAAGAGAAGGAATCACAAAGGAAATTGAGAGGTAGTAGCCTGGGAAGTAGGAGGAAATCAGGAAGGTGTGAGGTCCTAGAAGGACCTACCATGAGCCTTTAAGGAGAAGAAAGTAAGCAATTGCATTAAATGCTGCTTTTAGGTCAAGTAAGGTAGGAATTACCCATTGGATTTAGCATTGGGAAGGGCATGAAGTGGTGAAAACAAAAGCCTTGTTTACAGTGACTTAAAAGGGGAGAAATTGTCAACAGAGACAAAAATTATCTTATACTTTCCTATAAGGTTGTTATGAGGATTAAATGAGTAAGGCACTTAGAACCGTTTCTGGCTCATCTAATCACTCAGTAATTTTTTTTTCCTACTATGGTTAAATCACAACCAGCGAAGAGAACAGAAAATGAATATAAATAAGACTCGTTTGACAGGTTGTACCAGTGATCTGTAAAAGCTGATTGGTATTAAGAAATGATATATTCTCATATTATTGATCTTATAGGAACTTTTGGCTCATGGCCTCAGCAACGTGATTTCTTCATTTTTCTTCTGCATACCGAGCGCTGCCGCCATGGGACGGACCGCCGGCCTCTACAGCACAGGAGCAAAGACACAGGTAACCTTCCCGTCTTGCAGGGAGAAGGGAACTGCTGGCCTCCCCTCTCCTGGGACAGAGTGATAAAACTGAGCTTCTCTCTAAAGTCCAGAAAATGCTTTTACTTCTTTGATTTTTTTCCTAACTAGTTTCGAGGAATTCTGTCTCCCTTCTCTTTCTTGTTCCAAGCTTTACTGCTGGCAACCTTTGAACTCTTGCGAGTGGAGCTTCTGATTTTGTTTTTTTTCTAAGCTAACCAATTTGAAATTTTTCCACTTTTGTCCCACTCCCTTTAAATAAAATGACATCAATTATATGCAGAATTAGTCACTGACATTGAAACTTCTTTATGAATAGACGGAGAAGTGTATAAATAAGTAAGAAGATGCTTATGCATATTTGAAGTTAAAGAAGCAATATAGATTTTTAGGAACTCAAGTCAACTTGACATTTGAGTGTCTCCTGTATACCAAGTATTTTGCTGGGTGCTGGTTAGACAACAATGATGACAATGTAGATAATCTTTGATGATGATCAATGTGCCAGTGTTGCTGGATTGCATGTATGTATATTGACTTATGGGCCAGGCATTGCAGGCCATTGTTTCTATGTAAAAAAACTCATTTAACCCTTTAGACAACTCTGAACAAAGTATAATTATTATTCTCCATTTCCAAATGAAGAAGTTGAAGAAAAGAAGTTCAAAGTAAATTACGCAGATCACAGAATTAATGATTGGCATGGCTGGGATTTTAACCCTGCTAGATTTACTCCAAATCTTGCACTGTTAACCACTGTTCCAAACAAAATTCATGTATGTGTTAATATGGAAATTAAAGTTATTGGCTAACCTTTATTAAAACAATTCACATTTATTTCAAATTGGAATTGCCTAAGATTTATAAAATATTTTATGTGATACTTCAAAGATTTTTAGGAGACTGCCTTATAGTAAGTATTTTTGGGGGGGAAGGTTAAAAGAATAAGTTTGAAAAAGATATTGTTCTTGATCTTGGAAAGCAAGTGGCAGGAGAAAGGAGGAGAAAGGATATTAAAATATAGCATAAAACTAATAAAATAATTGATGAATAATAATTAATGGAGCAGAGAGGAACCAGCAAAAACATCTGAATGTATAATAATTTGAAAAATAACAGTCACAACTCATCAGCTAAGATGTGAAATCCTTATTCACATTCATTTTACATGATAATTTGATTTTTATGCAGTTAATGATTTCAGGCATAGGTTCATCATATATATTGGCATAAACATTTTTTGAAAACTATATTCTCTAAAATGTTTGTTATCTAAATTTGAATGTTTAATATGCAATGTATTTATTTACTTATTTTTAAAGAATTTATTGTGGTAACATAGTTTAATAGAATTATGTAGGTTTTAGGTACACACTTCTATAATACATCATCTTTATATTGTATCATGAGCATACAATATCTGTCTTAAATAGTCCTGGGATATATGGTAAGTGTATATATAGTTGCATAAGGAACTGCAAAGTGTTTTTTCAGCAGTGTCTGAGAACACTAGTTATTCTGAATCTTTGCCAGCCCTTAATATTGATTGATTACTTGCTTATTTATATATTATTTTTAATGTTAGCCATTCTAATAGGACCTGATTCCCTTTGATTTCTCCATAATGATAGTCTAGGCATCTTAGTGGTCCTGTGAAAGCCCTCTTTTCTCCTGATAGGCGGACAGTTTTGCCAAATGTTTCTATTAAGTCATGAACATTTGTTTATGTGAAATCAGGTTCTTCATTAAGGGCAGCATAGCTAAGAGTCAGGTTATTTGGATTTTCTTTTGTCAGCAGGTTGAGCTAGTTAGAAGATTATACTAATCACTTTTTAGGATTAATAAAGTTAGTCTCTTTCACTGCAGAGACTTCTCCCATAATTCTATGTAACTGCTTCATTCTAGAGCCCTAACAATTCCAAAGAGGAGAGTAAATATTTCAGTGAATATTTATCACCAACTTAGAAAAACCTTAAGCTGCATATATAATTATTACCCAAATATCTCCCTGGGAAGTGAGGAGGGGAGTCAAGCCAAACAACTATAGGCTAACGGGTTTTTAACTGAAATGTTGCTTTCATTATTAAACAGCAACAAAAAAAAGAAGTCATTGCTGTGATGTGCAATAAAAGTTGAAGAGTGTCCCGTTTTTAAATTTTTTTCATGAAATTGCTTTTCTGTCATCACTGACTTAACTATATTACACCAGCTTGTCAGGAGTCACATTTTATTTCTTTCAGCTGCAAAATACAGATAATGATGGTCTATGTAATTTAATAATCATGTGCCAACATATTGTTTTTTTTTCTAATCAAGATGAGCCAAGCATTATACCCCACCCCATACCTTTGGAATAATAAGAAAATTCAAGGTTTTCTTTTTTTATCTCTCTTGTGTTTTACAGGTGGCTTGTCTAATATCTTGCATTTTTGTCCTGATTGTCATTTATGCTCTAGGACCTTTGCTTTACTGGCTGCCAATGGTATAGTAGTGCTTTTTCATGATCTACTTTTTAAGTTTACTTTTGATGATAATAACTGTATATTAAAATTTCTTAAGAGTAATTTCAGGATTCATGAATGATCCATATGCTATTGATGTGATATAAGTAATGGTTGAATGGAGGAGAGGTGGAAAAAGGCCACAGTTGATGGAGGGGGAATAGAAGTTTTCTAATTCTTAGGCTCTTGTATAAAAATGGCATAGTGGAATTAGAATTATTCTGTGTTCATTTGGAGGGTGAAACTAGGTAATCTCTGTTATAAGAAATAGACTTTGGAAGAATTTTATTATAACTTGTACTATTAGACAATGCGTTCTAGGCAAGAAAGTAGGGAACAAGATACATCTTGCCACTTTTGACACATTCTTATAAAAAGTGACTCGGAACACTAGAACCTGTGGTTCACCTTGTCTTTCATAAGCCAGAGGCACCAAAGTTAATGCAAGTAAGATTCTGGTTTTCAGAGAACCAGAGACAGCCTCAGTCCTTTCTTGTTCTAATTCTTCATTCATATAGTGAGATTATGTCATTTCTACTAGAGGATTTTTCAATAATCAAATATTTCAAGAGACTTATATCATTAAGGTGAAGCTGGGTAATTGATACTCAAGTCAATTATAAAGAAATACATGATAGAAATGTAAGTATTTAATTTTGCAACAAACAAATTTCAAACAAATGGTGGTTAATAATTATAAAGTTAAAAGGACAATCAGCATTATAACATCCACCCTTATCATTCATTACTTTTCTTTTTCCTTCTTTCTAATTTTTTAGAGTGTCATAATTTTTACCTCATGATCTTCTAGAATTGATATTATATCTTTGAAGTGCAATAATAAGTTAGTTCTAAACAAAATAAATATTACATTATTCTTCTAAATGGTGATTGCTTTTTCCTAATAAGTACTTTAAAAACAAAGAAGTAAAAATGCTCTTGGTTCCTTTAAATTGTGATTAAAATATTATCTTGCTTTTTTCATCAACCTATTTCTTATTTGTAGTGTGTTCTTGCAAGTATTATTGTTGTAGGACTAAAGGGAATGCTCATACAGTTTCGGGATTTAAAAAAATATTGGAATGTGGATAAAATTGATTGGGTAAGTAGAAATTTAACCTAAATTTTTCTTCTTTGGCTTAACCATATGTAACAAAATACATTTTAACACTTTCATTTGCAGAAAGTAGTTTTAGAATTTGAGACTTGTACACTTTACTAACTATCATTAAGTTTTTCAAAATCTTAATAAATGCATTAAAATGTAAAATGTCTTTATAAGAAACAAGACATGGAATTTTATCAAATTTTGATTGCTGTGTTGTTTGAGAACTTTTAAAGAAATGCTAACTAACTTGAGTGGGCCCTAATTTCTGTAATTAATTAATTTTGGCAGTAAATTCATCAAGGAAGTGCACATTAAGAGAAATATGACCATTTGTAACATGTGTGAAAAAATCAGCATTAATTGCTAAGACATGTATGTCACAGTATCATAAGGTAAAAATCTTAATAGTGGCCATTTTCATGCTAAATATAAAAAGTCTCATGAATTGCGTTCTAAATGGGTTACATTGAGGGGATCATTGATAATAGGGTTTTGCCAGGAACAGATTAAATTATACTAAACAATGATAAAGTGTCGCTTCTACTAACAGAAATATTTAACATACTTATTCCAGAGAAATGTGCTTATGCAAGAGAATCCAGAATTCTTTTTCTCTGCAATATGGGTGAAGTATTTCATGAGTACCCACTATTTACCTCTATTATAACATTCGCCATATTGAACTGCAATTATCTGTGTATTCCGCCTCCTTCAGATTCTTTGAGAGACTTTGGGGATTCTTTATGTTGGTGCCTACTTTCATAAAACTCCTCCTATGGCTCAATATTACTGAGCTTCTACCAAAGTATAATGTTGAGGGCCATTGGTAATGCAATTACTTGTGCAGGAAACAGATACGGAAACACTGACTTCCATAGGGCATACTACAACATGTCCTAGAAGCAAAAGTACAAGCTTAGTGCCAGCGGAAAATAGAGGCTGGGGCATTTAATTTGGACTGGGTTAATCTGAAAGTCTCAGAGCAGAGCTGAAATGTGAACTGAGACTTGAATGAACAGTATTTTGTAGGCAAACCAATAGGCCAAAATTAGCCAGGCTATTGGAGGATTGTGACTTTTTAAAGGTGATAGTATGTGAGGTAGCACAAGGAAATAGAGAAATGAGAAGATACAAACTTAATTATCAAGTGCTTTCATAGTCCTATGATAAAGGTTATTTCTAAGGAACACATTAATCTCTTAAAAGGGAGCACATTACCATATCTGAAGGGGAGAGGAATCAGAAGAGGTTCCTTCCAGGAAATTATGGGTCGAATGTACAGTGAGGGTGGGAGTAAAAACAGATGGAGCTGGAAAATTTATGAATGGGTTGGACTGGGAAAGGCTGCTCATGTCCTACAAAGTAGGCTAAGCTTCATCCTAAAGATAGCGAGTCATCACTGAAAAGGGACATAGAGATAAGATTTATGTATTATAAAGATAACATGAGGAAGATGGATCAGACTGAGGAAGTATGCATCAATTGCAGCATTGTTTTAGTAATTCACGCAAACAAATGCGGAAGGCTTGAACCACAACTGAGACCATGAGGTTCAAGAGGAGGAAACAGATTGGAAAAATGTTAAAAATATTACATTAGTTAGCTCTCACCACCAATTCATCATATAAAGTGCAGCATTTTAGAATGACTTCTAAGTTTCCAGTTAGTAACATCACTGGAGAAAGATGATTTCTTGAGTTATAGAATATAGAATATTGTTTAAGTGCATTTAGTTGATACTGTTAGTCTTTTTTTTTTTTTTTTAAATATGGGTTCTCAACCCTGACTTATTTATTTCCATTCATCTCTTTGTTTTCTGCATGTCATCACTCCGTAGCTTTCCAAGAAGACTCATGTGGTTCACATTCCCTGAGCTATTGCCTGGTGAAAATATTTACCAGTTTGGCTTTTTTTTGTACTGGAAGAAAAAGAGTCTTTTTTAGACTCTTTTGCTGAGTCTAAAATGCTTTCTCTCAGGACTTTTTAGATTTGGTACTATCTTCAGGCCTTAAAAGACAAGGCAGATAAATCACATATCAATATGATTTTTATTTTTTTTGTATTTTATGTTTGTTTTTCTAAAGGGATGCAAAATGAGGTTCTTTCTTGCTCATGAAGTTTGGTCATATTATCAGAATATTTCTTTAAGCTGAATACCCATTATTAAATTTCTATCAAAGTGACACATTCTTTTGATCTCAGAATCAAGATTATATACACACTTTTATCTAATATATCTTTTAATATTTTTGCAAATCTACATGTTCTTTTTTCTTAATAAATTATATATTTTTCAAATTTATTTTGCCCTTCATCATCCATGTACATTTTTCCATGATTATTTTGAGTGTGTGTGTGTGTGCACACATGTGCATGTGGTTTCTTTGGACTGTCATTGTGTCTCTGATTATGTATTTCTAGTTGTGACTATCCTATTTTTTTTAGCTTCAAATGATGCTTTTATCTCCATAATGGTTTTATTTCTATTTAATTTCTTCCCAAAATTCTTCCAGTCTCCTTTTTCATCTCCTGTATATTTTTCCTTCTTTGACTCTTCACATCTATTTCTGAGGGTTTTCTCCCTCAAAATTACATTGCCTATTATGTCTAAACCTACTATACTGTCTCTGTTTTATTATTTTTTCTTTATTTCCCCCATTTCTATGAATAAGTCCTTTTCTGATTCCTTTATGATTATAATGTATTTTTAGTGGACTTAGCTCATTGCTGAAAAATAATGTGGGGAGGACAGGAGGGGAAGTGAGGTGGAGCAGCCCACAGCTCTGATTTAGGTACATAATCTGAAGATTTGTTCCTAGTTATAGCAAAGCCTCCCAAATCACAGGCTCTGTGGTGATCTGACATTGCTGTCTCCTCTCAGTTCTTTACTTTGCTATACTTCCATCAACCTCATTTGGTTAGGATGAGAGGTTGTAAATGATGCCAAGGACATTTTATCTTATTGCTGTTCTTTCTGGGGTATCAAATAGATAACATATGAGTACCTTTCCTTCTTTTCTGATGGCCCACCATCACATAAATCCCTTATCAGAAGATTTATATAGATTTTTCAAAACTGTGACTTTCATGGAAAAATCTAGAATTAATTGAACTTTGATGATAAATTTGTTGGCTTCCAGTGACCTCCTTAATATCTTACAAATTTCATAGTATTTGGCAAGTCTAAAACATATTTGTAGTTAGGGGTTATGACCATATTCTTGTTCCACTGAAGCTGGATTTTCTTCTCTAGGTATTCATTTTTTAAAAAACTGTTTTTGGTGGATTTTTAATAGAGGAGAGTGGAGTAAAAGTGCCTTTAATATACCATCTAAATCTGATACTTAAATCTATACCTTAGAAAGGTAATTTTGTCAGTGGTCTGGCAAATGGCTTATAATGCTGATAATAAAAGCAGATAGTTAAGTAGGGGGCTCTCAGAATAGTCTAGAAAGCAAAGTGCAAAATAGAGTAGCATCAGTGATTTGAGGAGAGGCTGAGGCTGCAGATTTTTTAAATTAAAAATTGATAGAATGTGGGAAATGATGGACAAGTAGATGAAAAATGAGAAATAGTAAGATACGATTGCAAGATTTCTTATTGCAGTATCTTGAAGAATACTTGTGTTATAACTGAAAGAGAACAGTGGAGAAAGGGTAGAATCAGTGCCCAAGTTAATGAGTTTGCATTTGGACATGTTAAGGTTGAAAGTATTTGGTAGACAGTTTGAAAAAATGATTTAATAGCTTGCAAATGTAGTCTCCTATATAGAGGTTAATAGTTGCAAATTTGAAGTAGGCAGTGTGGTTTGGACAAAAAGTAAGATTAAAAAGGTGACATGAATATGTAGCAGATGCACAGATGCATTATGATTAAATGTTACATTGAGTTAAGCTTGACAAGGGTCTCCAATAATTGAAGTGGACAGGTATCTTCTAAGTAATAAGGAACTCAACAGTGAGAACCTGTGGGTTACTGGCATATGATCTGGGTGTAGCTTTTGTAATGAAAACATTGCAGAGACTTTTGTGGATATAGGATATTATTCAGATGTCAGAATATGTCTAGATTCCTCAAATAATAAAATAAATCCAAAGTATGGAAGTAAAATTACCAAAGATATGTGTGTTTGTGTGAAAACTGAAAGTTAAATGTTTAAAAAATCAGGTAAGCAGTTATAACATGAAAAATCAGATATTTTTATATCTTTGATTTTTTTACAGTTTAATAATGATTATACTTTAAGTTATAGATCAAAACTCTTTGAGTTAATGAAAAAATAGGGATCCAAAGTAGAGGCCTGACTCAGGGCACAGAACTGAGTTTGAGTAACTGTACAGCGGGGATAAAGGTCAGACCTTCAGGAATTTAACAGTAATGAGTCAGTCATCAAAACAGATAGGCTAAAGAATGGCTCAGGGAGGGGTGAAGTGATTGAGTAGCTGCTATATTGTGCTTTACACTGATGCATTTTCTTTAAGGAGGAAGGGTTTACGCGTTCCCAATTTGAGGTCAGCTTTGGGGTTAGCTTGTGTTTAGGGCCTGTGAGTAAAAAATAGGAAAAGGATCAAGTATAGAACACATAATGAAAAGAATAAGTGCCCAGGAGCTAACCAATTCCTTATGACTGTGACGACCAGCATTTGGGTCTCTATTAAGAATTGTTACGGAATAGTGCTGGCACTTGTTCTAACCAAATTACTGGTCTATGTTATTAATTTCCATTTGATATTTTTTCAAAGTTATAAATGTAGCCCTGGGAAATAACTAAGCATTATAAGCCTGGCTAACAACAAATGATGTTGTGGGAAAGTACGTATGCTTTAAAAATAGAACCAGATGGTATCAAAATTGTTGGTACTCTGAAGAATCCTGGTCTCCAGGCTCTGTGGTTTTTAGAATGGCAGAGCCCGGGGTCCTCAGTTTCCTGTGCCCTATGAAATTATACAGGTTGGCCAGGAGAGCTTGGACTGATAAAGATCCTGCCACACCCAGGCAGATTAAGTCAGCATTAAGGGATGAGTGAGAAACAGAACAATCATGGCAAGTTGAAAATCAAAAACTTGCAACTTTATTTTGTATGTTACAGATAATGTAATATATTAGGAATGAAAAAACATACTGTGCACACGTAAAAGATTCAAATGACTGTCTATTCACCTGAACAGAGGAAAAACATCTCAGTGTCTAACCTATTATATGACCGGCTAAGACTGATGTAATAATAAGTGCTAATTTAATATTGTAATTCAGGTGATGGATCTTAACATGAGAACACTTAATACATATTTTTTCTTTTACTCCAGAATGTTTGCTTCTTTTATCTCAAAATGAATTTTACAGATAAAAATCTGCTTCCAATGGCTTAGCTGTTTGAAATAGGCCATTATTAAGAAACTGCTCAAGCTCAGTGTGGATACACAACAAAAGAAAAGCATTTCAAGTAAAAAACAGAATGCCTTTTAGAAACATTTGTTTCAAATTTATGTGAAAAAACTTATCCCCTGCCCTGAAAAAAACATTTTCCTATTTTCAGATTAGAGATAAATTTCTAATTCTTTCATTTTCATATGAAACTGAATTATATTTTGGGAGATAATTTGAAGTGATGATACAACTATTGGGATAGAAAGATATCAACCCAGAATTGTATGCATAGGTAAAGTGATGCAGCTAATTTCGGGGAAGAGAGAGATTTTGGAGATTTTGTTGGTTTACTATTTGATAAATGCAGGATTTTGTGTGTAGAAAACATAACCTTGTGGATTCCACAGATTGTTTTGCTTTTAAAAATATTTACCAGAAATAAACTTAGAAATGTCAACTATAATGCGATATATTTTTGCAAATTTTAATTTTAGATGTTGGACAAGACTACAATAATTTTGGAATTCCAACTTAAGGAGAAATAGAATTTTATTGCTATCTTTTGAAATATTCCCAAGAACTAAGTTGGCCCTGATGTTTTAGCTTTCACAATTTCAAAAGAAGTGGCCCCTTGCCAATAAAGTAACAACGCTCTTTGGAGTAGTTGATCTAAAAATGGCTTTGGTCATGTTGTTAGATTTCAGTCTTGTGCAGCAATAAACTACATTAGTTCTTTTTATAGCAATCATAGAAAACAGATTGTTGTTGGGAATGACCAAAAAACTGCACACAATTACTTATAATATTATTGCATTCAATGAGAAAACAATGGGAAATTATGGCATGCTTTTAACCATACACATCAACTAACTATTTACAGATCTTAAATAAAGTGTTGGGGATTGAACTAAGTATTGGCAGTATCTAGAAATAAAAGAATGTGCCTTTTCCTTTCCTTCGCTCCTGAGAGTCTGATGGGGCCAAGATTTGCCTGGGCTTCTGTTTATCACATCTTAAGTAATATTTTTTTTTTTACTGAGAAATTTGGTTATTAGAATGTTGTAGAATAAAATTGTGAGGAATTTAGCGCTCATGAGAATGATGAGAATACCAAAGGACCCATATTTTTTTCTTTGTTTCTCTTTCAGGGCATATGGGTCAGTACCTATGTATTTACAATATGTTTTGCTGCCAATGTGGGACTGCTGTTTGGTGTTGTCTGTACCATAGCTATTGTGATTGGCCGCTTCTCAAGGTAAAATCTTATTTAAATGTTCTGTTTACTATGACATAGCAGCAAAGTATATGCTGTTACCAGTTACTTTTATTTCTGTGGATTATTTGGTACTACAATCACATGTTTTATTTCGTATAAGAGAATTGGAGAAAAAAAGGTTTTATCTACATATGGTATATAATAATGTTACTCTTAATTAAGAGAATTATTTTGTTAGCATTATAAAAGAGAGTGTATAAAATCTATTAAAGTAAAAAGAAATAATCCCATTGCCATACACTACATCACAGATATATTTTTAATTAAGTAAAGAGATATAGTATACAATGAGACACAAACCATACAACAATTTAATCATTGAGAAAATTAAAACATCAGCAAATTTAATTTTCAGAAGCCATATCTGTATACTTTTATCTAATTTACTAAAGAAAACATTCTTTTTTTATCTTTCTACTGAACATCTGTGAGCAGTTTTATTTGTTTTCCAATAACAGTTTTATTCACTCTTTACTCTGCCCTTGAAATTCTTGTGAAATAATATATTTTTTCTAATTTTTTTTGGTTACATCTTTTATTTAATAATATTTGATTTAGTTTCAGGTGTACAGAAGAGTGGTTAGACAATTATATACTTTACAAAGTGCTCCCTCCCAATATTTTCAGTACCCACCTGGCACCATACATAGTCATAATATTATTAATTATATTCCCTATATTGTACTTTATATCTCCATGATTCTTTTTTTAACTTATATTGATTATGCTATTACAGTTATCCCAGTTTTCACCGCTTTTCCCACCTTCACCCGGCACCCCTACTCCCTCAGGCAATCCCCACACCTTTGTTCATGTCCATGGGTCATGCGTATAAGTTCTTTGGCTACTCCATTTCTTATACTGCACTGTACATCCCCATGGCTATTCTGTAACTACTAATTTGTACTTCCTAATCCCCTCAACTCTTCACCTATCCCCCCAAACCATCCTGCCATTTCACAATCATCAAAACACTCTATATCCACAATTCTGTCTCTGTTCCTGTTTGCCTAGTTTGTTTTTTAGGTTGCATTGTTATACACTTATTGCCATTTTATTGTTCATAGTTTTGATCTTCTTTTTATTAAATAAGTCCCTTTAACAGTTCATATAATGGTTTGGTGATGATGAACTTCTTTAGTATTTTTTTTTCTGAAAAGCTCCTTATCTGCCCTTCGATCTAAATGATAGCTTTGCTGGGTAGAGCAATCTTGGCTGTATGTTTCCACTTTTCATGACTTTGAATATTTCTTGCCAGTTCCATCTAGCTTGCAAAGTTTCTTTTGAGAAATCAGCTTACAGTTTAATGGGAATTCTCCTGTAGGTAAACTAACTGCTTTTCTCTTGTTGCTTTTAAGATTCTCTCTTTATCTGTAACCTTTGGCATTTTAATTATGATGCATCTTGGAGTGGGCCTCTTCGCATCCATCTTGTGTGGGACTCTCTGTGCTTCCTGGACTTTCATGTTTATTTCCTTCACCAAATTAGGAAAGTTTTCTTTCACTATTATTTCAAAGAGATTTCTAATTTCTTACTCTTTTTCTTCTCCCTGTGGCACTATTCTGATGCGAATGTTGGAACAGTTGAAGTTGTCCCAGAGGCTCCTTACACTATCCTCACTATCCTCTTCTTTTTGGATTCTTTTTTCTTCTTGTTCTGATTGGTTGTTTTTTGCTTCCTTATGTTCCATATCATTTACTTGATTCTCAGATTCATCCACTTTATTGTTGTTTCACTATAAATTATTCTTTATTCAGTTACTGTATCCTTCATTTCTGAATGGATCTTTTTTATGCTGTTGACATCCACACCAATTTCCTTGAGCCTCCTTTTAACCAGTGTTTTGAACTCAGTATCTGATAAATTGCTTATTTCCATTTGTTTAGTTTTTTTCTGGAGTTGTGATCTGTTCTTTCATTTTTGCCATGTTTCTTTGCCTCCTCATTTTGGCAGCTTCTCTGTGTTTGTTTCTGTATATTAGGTAGAGTTGCTATGACTCCATGTCTTGGTAGTATGGCCTACTGTAGTAGGCATCTTATAGGGTCCGGTAGCACAGCCTGCCCTACCACCCAAGCTGGGTACTTGAGGTGTGCCCTCAGTACTCACTTCTCTTATAGTTGAGACTTGATTGCTGTTGGCAGGTCAATGGGAAAGATTTACCCAGGCCAGTCAGCTACAAGGACTGACTTTGACCACTGACAACCAATCTTTGTTCTCCATGGAGGATCAGCTATGCAGGGGCAGAGTGGTGGTGCTCCGAGGTGGTCTGTAGCTATCCAGTGGGTGGACAGGTGCTGGGGTTTCCCAGGTGGTGCAGGTAAAAATTAGCCCCCAACTATGTTCCGCCTGGAGCCACCCTGCATGAGCTACAAAGCAATATGCAGATGGTTGCTACTTGTGTTGGGCTTGGAGGTTCCTAAGCAAAGCCAAGCTGTGAACCTAAATGGCTATGACTAGCTGGGCCTGGGGCCACTTAGCTAGAATTATGAGGGCTAGGGGCTCACTGAAGCCAGCTGGTGCTTATTTGAGAGGATTTAGGAAGTTATGACACTTGAGCCAAGACAAGTGATTCATATGGAAAAGTTGCTGTTTACAGTTTGGGTGGTCCCATAAGTTGGGTGGTGTGGAGCTGCAGGGGATCTCCAGGGTGGGGCAAACAGTGTTAGCCAGGTTATTGAAGTCTCGGATACGGCACCCACCTGCCAGCTCTGTGGCTATGGTCGGAAGATTCATAAAAGAAACCATGACCTCTTCCCGCCTTTCTTTCTGAGAGAAAGCTCTCCCCCAGCTCTCACCTTGATGCCAGATACTTCAGTTCCTCCCTGTATGCCACTGGTGCTTTTCAAGCTGCTATCTTGGTGCTGGAGCTCAGAGGGAGTGAGTCTGAGCAAGTCCATGTGCAGATTCTTTAAGACTGCTTGGGAATCCAAGTTTTTCCACTGACTTAATCCTCACTAGTTTTTGCAGCCAGAAGTTATGGGGACTTACTTCTCTTTCTGGCATTGGAACCCTGGGCTGGGGAGCCTAGTGTGGAGCTGGAACTCCTCACTCCTGAGATATCCCTGCATGATTTTTATCCACCACACGTGGACCAGCCCATTCAACATTTTCGCATCTCTGCCCCTCCTATCAGTCTGGATGGATATAGTTTCTTTAATTCTGTAGATGTCAGACTTCCATTCAACTCAATTTCTGATGGTTCTATGGGATTGCTTTTCTATAGTTTAGTTGTAATTTTGATATGGTTGTACAAGGAGGCGAGTCATATTTACCTATACCTCCATCTTGACTGGAAGTCCCCATGATTCTTTTTTACTCACAATCTGTCCTTTTTAATCCCTTCACCTTTTTCAGTCAGTCCCCTAGCCTTCCTTCTGGCAACCATTAGTCTGTTCTTTGTATATCACTGCTTATATAATTATGAGCCTGTTTCTTTTTTTTGCTTGCTTATTTTGTTCTTTAGATTACACATGTAAGTGAATAATACAGTGCTTGTCTTTCTTACTGATGTATTTAACTCAGCAGAATACCCTCTAGTGAACATTCTTGTATTGTTCTTGATCTTAAAGAGAATGCTTTTAGTTGTACTCCAATAAGTGTAATGGTAGCTGTGGTGTGCCTTATATGGCCTTCATTATGTTGAGGCATGTTCCCTCTAATCCCACTATGCTGAGAATTTTCATATGTGGGTGTTGGATTTTGCAAATGCTTTTTTCTGCATCTGTTGATATGACCATGATTTTTATCCTTCATTTTTTTAAATGTAGCCTATCACATTGATTTGTGAATCTTGAACCATCCTGGCATTCAGAAAATAAATCACACTTGAACATAGTATATAATCTTTTTAATGCTTTGCTGAATTCAGTTTGCTAATGCTTTTGTTGAAGAGTTTTTGTATCTATGTTTATCAGGCATATTGGCATATATTTTACTTTCTTTGTAGTGTCTTTATCTGATTTTGGAATTAGGATAATGCTGACCTCATAGATGACTTCAGTAGTTTCCCCTAAGTAGAGATGTGATCTGGTCGCAGCCTGGGAGAAGAATCCAGCACAGGAACAATGGCAGCTGTCCCTGTAGCTCTTTCCCCAGAGACAAACCACTCAGCCTTTTCTAGTACAACTCCAGTCCACTGTGAGTTGCCCCTCCTCTGCTGGAGCCCAGAGTGAGTGGCTGAAAAGATTTTTTGTACTGGCCTTTAATAGGGTGCCTGGTTTTCTAGAGGACTCTCATCTCTCCCTGTTGATTTCCGCAGCCAGGTGTTATGTGGCTTTTTCTTCCTGGTTCTGGTGCTCTGGGCTGGGGATTTCGGCATTAGGTTAACACATGACACTCCTAAGGAGGAGCCTTTATAGCTGCGATATCCCTGTGGATTCTCAACCACCACATGTGGTGTGGGACCACTCTTTTCACATCTCCTCCCTCTACCCACCAGTCTCGATGTGGCTTCTGCAAATCCTTGGGTATAATTCTTCTGTTCACCTAGTCTTCAGTTGGTTATTCAGGTTGACTCTTTCTATAATTGATTGGTAACTCCAGTTTGGTCTTAGGAGGAGGTGAGTGTGATTTTCACCTACTCCATCTTCATCTTGGAACCCTGAAATAATATATTCTTTTTATTAATTGTATTTATTTACTTTTAGAGAGAGGAAAGGAGGAAGATAAGGAGAGAAACATCAGTGTGTGAGAGAAATATTGATCAATTGGTTACCCCGCACACATCCCCAACTGGTGACATGGCCTGCAGTCCAGGCATGTGCCCTGACTGGGAACAAAACCAGCAACATTTAGGTTTACAGTACAATGCCCAACCCACTGAGCCATGCCAGTCAGGGATGAAATAATATATGCTTGAATATTTTTAGGTTATATCTCTACAAATTTTATCTTTATAGACTGCATCTATGTAGATTCATCATTGTCTGGTCCTATCTTGCTGTTGATTGCCTCTTTCTTCCTTCTAAAATAAGATTTTTCTCAAATTCTATATACTCTTTAACCTTTCTTACAATTCTTATTTGTCAATTCACCTCTTGTAGCTTGGATACACGGTAGCTAGGAGCCCAGATTAGGTAAATTGCATTTATAAATAACTACTTAGATGTCTCTGTTGTTACCCTTTACTCCTGGTGATCCCAGAGATATACAAATTTATCACTGTTTTCTTAACAAATGTGATACGGGATCTAAACCATTTTAGATATGTTCCTATTGTTAAGACATCATTATTACTTCTTCCTGGTTAATGCAGTAATTATAAAATCATATTTTATTTTCCACTTGTCTTAATTCTAGAGCAAAGACACTGAGTATAAAAAACATGAAAGAAATGGAATTTAAAGTGAAGACAGAAATGGATGGCGTAAGTTTAGTTTCCTTCTCCTTGGTGCAATTATTACCAACTTTTGTGATTCTGAAATCTTAAAGGTAATTTAAGATTTTAGAAGCAGATAAATTATGACATTTAAAAGATTATAAATGTATTTATAATTAGTTTTAGCTTTTCATTGTATATATGTGGCATATATAAGTATATATATATACGCACACAGGGTCTGACAGAAATAAGGCTTGAGTGTGGTTGGTAATGATATGGATGTAATAATTTATAGTTTTAATTTGAACATTTCACCTCAAATGTCATATGGTGTGCTTGAGTGTGATATGTTATAGAATTACATGTTTATGATTTTGTAATAAAAGATTTTGTAATAAAAAGGGACATTATTTGTGCTAGACCCTGTATGTATGTGTGTGTATGTGCATATGCACACACACATATACACATGGCAGTTGACATACAACAAATCAATAGAACAAAACTTATATTAGCATTCAGATAAGACAGTAACACAGTTCATAGAACTACAATCCACATTATAGTCCAGAATCATAGTCCAGATTAATTCAGGCATTTGGAAACTTCTTTTTCATCACTAAGTTCTGTAAAAGAGCCAAACTAAACTAAAGACTATTCCAAAGTATATGATGAAGGAATGAAGAAAGATAGGGAATAGAAAAAGGAATAAGGCAAAGTCAGATCATTTTTTTTTTTTTTTTGGTACACATGGAGACTGTATTATTAGGAGATTCAATTCTATTGGTTATGGAATGACAATGGAACCAGTTTCTTGCACACTGCATACCTTTCCCTTTTAAGAAAACAACTTACTTGTCTTGCCCTGTTCAGTATTACCAGGCCAGTTGTGTCTGTGTTCTCATTTTTTATTCCAAGGGACAGATGGCCAAAACAAGTTTAAAGTAAGAAAAAAATATTGCCTTGGATGGATTTTTTTGCCAACTGCCCTCACTTTGAACTTGTTTTGTAAATGTTTGGCTAACGGTTTTCTTTATTTTTTACATTTCCTCGTTCCAGTACCTCATGATTACCCTCAGAACAGAGAACTGGCCTTCCACCAGCAGGACCAGTGTCAGGGCATTTCTGAGTAGACCCAGACTAAGAAGTAGCACCAACAGTCCTTCTAGGACACCAGAAGCTTGTTTGAATACGTGTGAAAAGATTCGCTTCACAGAGAGTTACTTCCACCAGTGTTGCCTTTCTTACCTTTCCTCTTCGTTTAAATTTTCTTTCTTTAAATTTTATGTGGCAATCTAGTGCTTTTTCGAAGTCCCAGACTGACTCTTGGTGCCCCAAATTCCTTTATGTATCTACCCCACGCATACAGCTATATATCAGTACATTAGCCTTGGCATTCTTAGCTTTGAAACAGAATTGGAGTTTGATCATTTTTCACCTTAGAGGTCACTGGTTAATAAATTCTTTAAAATTTTTACCTTCTCAGACTAAATACCTGGGGAAGTGAACGAAGGTGTTTGTAGGAAGATGACAATTTTTTCATGTCTTTAAACTTCAGTTGGTTACAGTCCAGTTGCACACCTGAGTAACAACTGTCACACAAAAATCTTAATTTTATTAGAATATTATATCTCACTAGTTATTTAATGTTTAAATAAAAAATAAGAGAGAATCAACCTAAGAGAGTGTGATTTAAATACGAATGGTTGGGTCAAACTTAAATTTAGCTTGGTGGCAATCTGTCGTTCCTCTCTTCCATACATGCATTCTTGCACACCTTTTTCATATGCAACAGTCATTCTCAATTTGGGATAGTTCTTCCCACTTGATGAATTCAACTCCATCGAGAATTTATTTTCTGGTGCAATTTGAATCTTTTTCTTTAATAAATACGTATCTTTTTTAAAATTATAGTTTATTGATTATGCTATTACAGTTGTCCCAACGTTTCCCTTTGCCCCACCCCACCCAGCACCCCCCACTCCCTCAGGCAATCCCTTCACCACTGTTCATGGCCATGTGTCATGCATATAAGTTCCTTGGCTACTCCATTTCCTATACTGTATTTTACATCCCCACGGCTCTTCTGTAAAAAAAATGTAATATTAACAGAAAACAATGTATTGGCACAATCATAGTATGATTAGTGGGTAGATATAAGATGGGGAACTTTGTAATAACTAAATATGACAGGCCCAAGAATTGTGGGTTTTTGTTTTTTTTTTGGTTTGTAAGAGATTTACTCTTGATTAGAAATTGGTTTGGTAATTTAAGGCTTTTTATTTTCTTGAGCTATTTGTAGCAAATCTCTTCACTTTCTACTGTGTAATCAGTTGGGTAGCTATAGGAACTTCATGAGATAATCTAGTTTAAATAATTACCTAATTTTAAATATGAGAAAACTGAGAAAGTTTCAATGAATAGTCTAGATTCACATACTTAATATTTCTTTGATCTTTTTTTCCTCTGCTTGGATGCTGCACTGTTTTCTGTGTCTCTTTTATGTAAATACTAAAGCCTGAAAGAGTAATGCTTTGCGTAGTTGGTTTGGAGTTGTCATATCATAGAACATACCCTCCTCTCAATTGCTAGGTCAGACTCCTGCCCGAAAGATCACAGTTTCAGTTGCATACCATCAATTGCTGCCAGGGAGACCTGGGCAAATGGCCAAAGTAGATACTTTTCAAATTGAAACTTTTCCTTCTCTCTTTTGTGTGCCTTACCTACATCCTGGCAATGCAGGGCCAAGGCCAGCCCAAAGTGAAATGAAATTCCTGAAACAACTGCAAGGTTTCTTTCTCTCATTAGGCCTATCACACTTGTAAAGTAAAACACCAGCCAAGGGAAAACTATGTCATCGTGAAGTTAATGATTGCCAGTTTGAACCCTTAGGACATCCTTTTGTTTTTTTTAAATATTCATGGTTAATTAAATAAATTTTTAAATTTTATTTTGAGTGGGAGAGGTAGTTTTGGAAGGATAAAATTTCCCTGTACTCTTTGGGTATTCTTGGCTATTGCATCCCCAAAACCTAGTAAGTTCATATAAGAGCCACTTTCTGAAAAACTTTAGACTTATCTCATGGTTGTTAATGTTTCTTAGTGAAGAGAAAGTACATATTTTCCCTAAGAACATGATAGTGTATTAAGTTCTCCAAATATATTTTAGTAATAAAAATGTTAGCTAAGAGATTGCTTCCATGACTGAACAACATTTGGACTTGTAAGATTGAGATTTATTGGATAGAGTTATCCTTTTTTATTTTATTCAGTTCTCTGAATCTAATATTTTTCTCCTCCTGAAGGAAACCCTGCAACAGGCAAAAATTATCTCAATAAACAAACCACTTGTTTTTCTGAATGCAAAGAAGTTTTATGCTGATCTAATGAATGCAATGCAAAAGGAAAATGCCAGCAATCAGCCACTTGATGATATGAGCAAGGTAGGACCAACACTTTCATGATTACGATGTCATGATACAGGTAACCCTATATCATGATACTAAAATATATCAATTAATTAAAGTTCATGCTTCATTCAGTTTCCTTAGTTTTACCTAATGTCCTCTTTCTGTTTCCGGATTCCATCTAGAATATCACATCACATTTAGTTGTCTTTTCTTAGGTTCCTCTTTGCTGCGACTGTTTCTCAGACTTACTTTTTTTGATGACTTTGACAGTTTTGAGTAGGTCTGGTTAGGTATTTTGTAAAATTTCCCTCTATTGGATTTATCTGGTGTTCTTCTCACTGTAAGACTGGGGATATAAATTTTAGAAGGAAAATTAGGCATGTGAAGTGTCATTTTCATCACATTATATCAAGGGTACATACTACCAACATGATTTATCACTGTTGATATTGACTCACTTTGTCACCTGGATAAGGTAGCATTTGTCAGGCTTCTTCACTGTGCAGTTATACACTACTTCCCCCTTTCCCTACTGTACCCTTTGGAAGCAAGTCTCTTAAGTGCAGCCTGTACTTCAAGAGTGTGCAGTCATTTCGCACCTCCTTATGGTTGGAGTATTTACATAAATTATTCAGAATTCTTCAGCATGGAAGGTTTCAGACCAGCACTTTTAAAACTAGTAAAAGGAAACTCACATTTGTTGACTCTCTTTCAGGAAGTAGTCCCTTTTTGGGGTAACTTAATCATCACCAGCCCCATGATGTAAAATAACCTAGTGGGAATTACTTGGTAACTGTCAGAACCACGCTTAAAATATATAATCTGCACCATCAGGTATGTAGAAAGGAAAGTAGTTGTATGTTCTGTAGTCAGCCTCCAAGATGAAAATTGATTTCAAATAGTGTGACTGAGCAGTTTGGAGCATGAGGCTTGCAAAGTAAATGTATGATCTCAGGTGTTAATCCAGGTTCTTACTAGCTTTGTGACTTTGGTCAAGTTATTTAACCTTTCCAAAATTTAGAAATTTTTAAATTTTCTTCAAAAATGAGATTTGTACCTTCATAGAATTGTTCTGAGGATTAAATGATTAATGTGAATTCCTCAGAATACAGTAAATACTGCAGAAATCAATTGTCATAATTAACAATAATAATAATTAACAATAATACTTTTTTTTGAGAAATGGGTAGCATACTCCATTCAATTTTAAGAAGTTCAATTTTAAGAAGTTTATAGGATATGGAGTCATTTTTATTCTTCAGCATTTCCATAAATCAGGAATGTTTCTCAGACATTTTCATGGATCTTCAGATAAACAGTTAACTTTTGTAGTGATTCTCTATCAAAGAATGCTGTGTTAATCAAGTTAATTTCTGATTGGATATGCTATGTGAAAACACATGAAAAATTTTAATTCTTGATCAAAAATCAAAACAGTTGTGCATAAAATATTTTAAAGGAGATAGTCTGACTTGATAACATACTGTCTTACTGAGAAAATTTATACTTAGAGCTAATGACCATTTTATTCTTTCAGCTTGTTATATTTACCATTCTGAAAAAATAGGCTGTGGAAAATAATTATTGGAGAGTAGTTATTTTTGTTATCTAAGGAGAAAAGAATGTGCTTCTTTTCAGGGACAGAGATGAATTTTTATAATGTTATGATTCTTTATATTTCTTTTTATTTCAGTGTGAACAAAATACATTGCTCAGTTCTCAATCTAATGGCAATTGCAATGGTGAGTCAGTTTTTTTTTTTTTAAATAAAGTGTTCTGACTTGAACATATACCAGAGAAGGATATCTTCTCCTTCTTCTCTGCCTCCTTCCTCTGTCCTTTTTCTCTCTTCCTGACTTTTCTCCTCCCTCTACTCCCTCCCTCTCCTTCCTCCCATTTTTTCCTCCTGTCCGTCTCCGTCTCGTCTCCTCCCTTCCCTGCTCTCGGTCCTTCTTTTCTCCCCTCCTCCCTCTTCTCTTCTCTTTTTTCTCTTTTTCTTCTTTATCTCCCTCCTCCTACTCTTGCCTCCTGCTCTCTTTTAGAAGTAAATCTATGTAAAGATGTACAAACCTACACAGGATGAAGATATAAAACTCAAGGCATTAAAAATAGTCAAAACACTTAAATATATGGTATTTATAAATAAAGGAAGGGGAATATCCATTGTTTAGTATACACAATATAAAAAATATATCAGTTCTTAAATGAATTTATAGGTATAAATTTAATCCCAATAAAATATTTTAATGGCAATTGATAAGCTCATTCTAAATTGTTAATAGAAACTCAAATGGCCAAGAATAGGCAAGAGTCTTAAAATATATGAACAAGAGGGACAATGTGCTTTCTTAGTGGTCAGGATGTGTTATGAAGTTCTAATAATCAGTGCAGTATGGTATTGGTTCATAGATAAATGAACAGATCAACAGGAGAGTAGAACTCAAAGGGGCAAAAAGACAAACAAACAAACTTCCTCACATACATTGGTGTTGATTTGTGACGAAAGTGGCACTGCACAGCAATGGGAAAAAGACAGAGTTGCTAGTACACAATGATGAGACAATCACGCACCCATAATAAATGAAATTACACCTTTCTCTCATACTGTACACCCAAATTAATACCAAGAGAAACAAAGGCCTAAGAGTGGTAGACAGAAATTTAAATTTAGAAGAGAATATATACAAAAACTGTAAAGCATTAAGCATAAAGGCAATGGTCACTAAACTTCGCTAGATTATTTATCAAGAGCACCAAATAAAGCATGAAAGGTAAGCCAGAGTAAAAGAAGATAGATATAACAAAAAAGAATTGCACTCCCCAACAAACCAACAGGTAAAAAGTAGGTGGTCCAATAGAAAAGTAGGCAAAAGGCATGAACAAGCTTTTCTCAAAAGGAGACACTTTCAGTTTTTCTAATAAATATATGAGAATATGCTTCACAATTATTATTCATAATTATTGGAGAAATCTAAATCAAATGCACAATAAATAACACTATATATAACTGGTAAAATCTGACAACATTAAGGGTTGGTGGAGATAGAGGGCAGCAAGAAAACTCTAAATGCTGATAGGAGCGTAAACTGGTACAACCACCTTGGGGAGGAGTTTGGCGATATCATGAAAAGTTGAAGACACACATACCACATGGCCAGCAATTCCACTTCTAGTTATACATTCTAAATAAATGAGAGCTTATGTGCAGCAAGTTACTCAAATAAGACTGTTCACACAGTGCTGTTTGTAACTATCCAAATCTGAAAAGAGCTCTCAGTTCACACAAAAATTAGAAGGTATATATCAACTGCATATATTTATATACTTGAGTTTTTATTTGATATATTTATTATATGGTATAGATATAAAAATGAAAATTGGATAAATCTTATAAACATGATTGGGGAAAAAAACAAGGCAAGAGAAAATATTTTAAAATTCCAATTCCATTTATACAAACTTAAAAAAATGAAAAAGCTGAGCTATATTAACTTTTTTCACTCCTAAAGACAATAAAAAAGGAATCTTTTAATATATGTACCTAGAAATATATAAAGATTGTTCATAGTAACTTTTAAAAATAATTTTCCCAAATCTGGAAACAACTAAAGTATCTAATAACAGTATAAGAATGTATAGAATGTTGGTATGAGAACAAAATACACACTATAATATTTATTACATTACTGTATATATTTTAAACAAATATATGACATGGGATAAAACAATAAAATAAATATTGTATAAGTACATGAATCATTTGCATGACCCTTATCAACATGGGTGTGCTCAGACGTTAGCTTCTCTGGTCTTTTCTGACTTCCTATGGCAAATTTTCTGTTTCTTGCCTTGTGCTATAAAATAATGCTTATATAATACTGTAAGCATTATGTAATATCTAGAAGGTATTCAGCCATGTAATATAAAAATAGAGACATTTATTGAATAAGATACAAGATAAAAGAAACATTGTCCATAGACCATGATGCCTCAGTCCCCTTCAAAGTAGGCACCTTGGGAACTCACACAGTTCTCCCAATCACTGTCAGGTACCCGACGTATTTTCCTGAATCTCATCAACAATCTGAAATCTCTTCTCTTTCAAAGGTGATTTTAGTTTTGGGAAAAACTGCAAGTCTCAAGGCACCAAATATGAGCTATAGGGGGGCTGAGTCACCTGGGAGATTTGATGTTTTGCCAAAAACTCTGCATGAGACGTGATGCATGAGTAGGCACATTGTCCATGAAGCTACCCATCACCAGTTGCCCGTAGCTGTGGCCTTCTGAATCATTGGAATAGTTTTGGTGGAGTCATGTTCAAGCTTAATGCAAAATTTGATGCAGATTGGTTGCTCTACCCATTCAGTCATTTTGAATGTGACAGCCACAGAGTACACGTGCTCACTCAATGGCGTCTACCTTCCCCACGGAATAGCACACTGAAGTCATCACTGTTGATGCATGCTCATTCCAGTCCACCCTCCTTGGCTGCCAGGTTACAATGACATTGCAAACTGTTCTTGTTATATTAACAATGGTTGGACTTTTTCTGGACAAACTATTATATATTATATATAGTATGTATGTGTATACTATATGTAACATAGTACTTATTTAATGTTTTCTTGAGTGTTACACATTTTTTAGAGCATTTTTTACCTCTGCATTTCTAGACCAGGCCCACTTTGCACAAGAAGAGTAGCTGATGGGCACGGTCACTTTGCTGTATTCTTATGAAACCTTAGGTGTCAGCAGCCCTTTTATAGGAGTCAGAACTGGTTGGCCAGAATTTTTCTGGCATCCTCCTTCTCTCCCTTCCTCTGACACTCCAAAGTGTCTGGGGCTTCGCATCTCTCCTTTTTCAGGAACACCACCTTGCTTCCATCTCCCTGTGCTTTAAATGCTAAGGTTACATTTCCTGCTCTTTATTTCCTTTCTCAATTTAACTCCAATTACAATATAATTACCCATAATTTTTGGTTTTACTACCTTCACTTTTTCACTTCTGTTAGTCTTATTCTGTCTTTAACCATTTTCAAAATGAATCTGTATGATTTTCATATTTTTTTTCCTGCTGAGACACTCTTGGTTTTATTCCATGAATATAAAATGCCCAGTGTCTTGCACTTACATTAGACCTAACTAATGGATCAAGGCACTTCCTCCTATGAGACAAAGTAGCCCGAGAATCTTCTAAACAATGAGCTACAAGAAGCCACCACCAATGGTTGATACTGACATACAAGCTGAGATGTAACTGCCATTTCGGCTTTATTCTGTTTTGTGATGTAATGAGATTGATTTTTAAATCATCTTTACTTAAAATTTCTCTTATGCTTAGAAAAATGACAAAGGTTCCCTTCTGAGAATCAAGTGCTCATTCTTGAGCATGGCACCTAAAACTCTTCTTTATCTTCACAAAGTGCTTCCCCTTCTACTAGCGAGTGCACGAGCCCTCCCTCAAGTTAGATCAGTTAATGACCCCTACATCTAAATTATCCCTGGCTCTGAGTTTTTATTTGGATTCTCTCAAGTATAACCATGTCCCTTCTGTGCCAATCTAAATCTTATATTTTTTTCAAGATGTAATAGAGAAGTAAAGTAAATTGAAGGACAGAATCCTTGGCAATCCCATTAAGTACAAAAATAAGTCAAAAAGACCCATGCAGGGAAATGTACAGTGAAGTACAGCCTGGAATCCAGTGTCTTCAGCTATAAAATGGAGATCATAAAAAATAGTGAACCAGAGACTTCCACACACTTCACTCAAATGTATAGCGTTATATAGTTATAGAGTTGTTTTATTTGTGCATATTTTCCTTTTAACTAGATTTTAAGGCAAACGGTGCTTTTATCATTTCCATTGCATTATCTTTTATACTTGGCCAGTAAGTGAAAATTATAATATTTGTATAGCACTTTACAGTTTTCAACAGACATTCTTCTTTTTAACAGTGCTTAAATAGGTAATGAGGAAATACTATGCTTTCATTTTCAATTAAGTAATAGTATACTATTCATTTTACTGATGAAGAAGTTGAGGCCTGTAAGGGATAATGGCTTACTCTGGATCATGCAGTTGGTTAGGAACAGAGGCAGAACTAGAGCTCCCGTCAGAGGCAGACATGCATACAGACAAGAAAGGGCACTTAAAGCTGGGAATCATGAGTATTGATCTTAATGTGGTCTGCAAGGATGCATACAAGAAGGGTGGGCTGGTTGTAATCCAGAGAAGAGAAGGTAATGGCAACATCTTCTGGTTTGGCCACAGGGTTATGAAATTGGAGGAAAAAAAGGATGCACTTCAAAGAGATTTCAGCATGTAATGAACACAGCTCACATTGTTTGGTTGTAGAGAAAGGAAGAGGGCAATACAAGTGATGATTTTGAAGCTTTTAAACTCTTATACTGGGGTAACAGGGAACCTTGGAGGGTAGCTAGGAGAGAAGATATGTTTATATTGGAGCATGGTGAACTTAAGATATGGGAGGTGCCCTGGATGGGTGGCTTAGTTGGTTGGAGCATCATCCCATACACCAAAAGGCTGTGAGTTCAATTCCCTGTCAGGGCTCATACCTAGGTTGCAGGTTCAATCTCCGTTTGGGGCAGGTACTAGAGGCAACTGACTGATGTTTCTCTCTCTCTCTCTCTCTCTCTCTCTCTCTCTCCACTCCTCTTTCTTTAAAATCAATGAACATATCCTTGGGTGAAGATTAAAAAGAAACAAAGATACTGAGAGGTC